TTCAGGTAAGGAAAGGGAGGGGGGGGGCAGGAGGAGACACTGGCCCTGCCTCCTCTGTGCCCGAGGCAGCCTGGACTTCCTGGGGGACAGGGCCCCCATGTTGGGGCCCGGGACTGAGGTGGTGGGTGGGGATCGGAAGGGAAAGCCAAGCGGGTCTTGCCCTGGTTTACTGGTCTGTTCTGCCCGGCACAGAGGACGAGAAGGCCGAGGCCCGCGAGTTTGAGGAGGACCAGGTGGCGGGGCGCCTGAAGGAGGACGTGGTGCGTGTGGAGGCCCAGTGGTGGGAGGAAGGGGTGGGCTGGTCTGGCTTGGGGGCCCTCACCCAGTCCTCTCCCTGCAGCTCGAGCAGAGGGGCAGGCTGCAGAAGTCGGTGGCAAAGGAGGTGAGTGGGCGGGGCACTTGGGTGTAAGATGGGAGGGAATTGGGGGTCCCACCTGGGTTGGTGGGCAGATGACCCAACTGGGGACTCAGGCTGCGGGGTTTTGCTCAGGGACATGGTGGGCTTGCAGCCCTGGGTCTGGTTTCCTTCTGGGTGGGGAGATGGGGAAGGGTGGTGTGTGTGTGTGTTTGTGCATGTGTGTGTGTAGATGGGAGTGTGTAGGTGGGGGTGCTTCCCTCCCCCCAGTCGCAGTGACCCAGTCCTGCCTGCCCAGATCCAGGTCCCAGCCCCGGCCGACATTCGAGTCTTACGGGGCCACCAGCTCTCCATCACGTGCTTGGTTATCACCCCCGACGACTTGGCCATCTTCTCCGCCGCCAAAGACTGCACCATCATTAAGTGTGAGTGAGTGCCTGGCGGGGTGCAGCCCCCAGGGACCATCTGCGGGGGCTGGTCTGGGAGGAAGGAGGAATCAGGGCAACCTAAGGCCTGATGGGGAAGCTTCTGGAAGCAGGTGTGTCCCCAGAAGTCTCTGGGTGACTGTGGCAGCTTCTGCCCAGGAGGGGCTCCTGAGCTCCCCGTCACCGTCATTGTGATGGGAGCAGCAGCAGGAGTCGGGGGTCCGTGCTGCGGGGCCTGGACTAGAGGACCCTGTCCCCGGCCTCCTGGGTCCGGCCTCCTCCGCCCACAGGAGCAGGAGAACCGTCCGTCCCAAAGCACTTCCCTCCCTCCTCCGGGGCTGCATGGCTGCCCTTTAGGGTATTGTCCCCACTTCACAGATGAGGAAACTGAGGTGACCTCTCAGGGGCTGAGCCAGATCTGACCTGAGGCCAGGGCTTGTCCAGGGCCCCACGCTGCCCTGGAGGGGGTGGCACCAGGCCTCTCGCCTATCCCAGCCGCCTCTCTCCCCCGTGCAGGGAGCGTGGAGAGTGGACGGAAGCTTCACGTGATCCCACGAGCCAAGAAGGGCGCGGAGGGGCAGCCCCCCGGCCACAGCAGCCACGTACTCTGCATGGCCATCTCCTCCGACGGCAAGTACCTGGTAAGGCTGGTGGGCCCTGGGGCGGTGAGAAGTCGGGGCACACGGGTGCCTGTGGCCACTGTCCTCCTCCACACAGGCCTCGGGCGACCGCAGCAAGCTCATCCTCATCTGGGAGGCCCCGAGCTGCAGGCACCTGTACACCTTCACGGGGCACCGGGACGCCGTGTCGGTGAGGAGTGGGCCTCCGTGCGGGACCTTCAGGGAGCGCCGGGCGGCCGGGCCTGGGGATGGGGTGGCTGAGG